TCCTGCTCTTAGTGAGCACATTTGTATATTTGCATGTAGTTTCACCAGATTTCATTCTCAAACTTTGATTAAAGTGTATCAGATCAATAGGCCACCAGCCACAGACAACTGTAGCTTAATAACAGCCATGAAGTGAAAGGACTGCTTGCTCAGGATAGGGCATTGTGAATGTTTATATGTGCGAGTGTCTCTGCGAGTATGTCTGTGGGTGTATCTGTGTGTGTGAGAGACAGTATGAGTATGTGTATGTGTGAATGAATGCATTTGGGTGTAAGTAAGAGAGGGAGAGTGCATGTGAGAGAGAGACTGCATATGAGCAAAAGTGTGTGTAGACGTGTGTGTGAGAGAGTGCGTGTGTGAAAGAGACAATGTGTGTATGTGTTTGTGTGTCAGTATAATGTGTGTATATGTGTCTCTTGTATGTAAGTCCATGCTTGTGTAAGACAGTGTGTGTATATTTGTGAGATCGTGTGTGAATGTGTGTGTGTATATGTGTGTGTGTGTGTGTGTGTGCATCAGACTGAAAGTATGTGTGTGAGAGAGACAGTCTGTGTGAGAGTGTACGGATTTGGTGGAGCTGAACAAGACCGGTATCCAGTCAGATTCACGCAGCATTGAAGTTAGTACATAGATGTGAAAAATGCAAATAAGTTTGGATGTGAAAATACAGCAAATTTACTCACCATTGATTAGGACAGAACTTGCTGAGGAGAAAATGAAAGAAATTCCAGAACAATGTTTCAGGCATAACCAAGATTAAAGAGCACAGCGTACATTTGTTCAGTTGCCCTGTAATTGATTGAAAGTCTACTTATTTCTGAAGCGCTCTGTGCTTGAAGCTTGAGTGTAGATTTAGAGAAAAGTAAACATAATTTAGAGGTTCAGAGACAGCAGGAACTGCCAATGCTGGAGAATCTGAGATAACAAGGTGCAGAGTTCGATGAACACAGCAGGCCAAGCAGCATCAGAGGAGCAGGAAAGCTGACGTTTCAGGTCTCGATCCTTCTTCAGCAATGAGGCAGGGGAAGGAGATTCTGAAATAAATAGGTAGAGAGGGGGAGGCGGATAGAAGATTGATAAAGGAGAAGATAGGTGGAGAGGAGACAGATAGGTCAAAGAGGCGGGAATGGAGCCAGTAAAGGTAAACATAGGTGGGGAGTTAGGGAGGGGATAGGTCAGTCCAGGGAGGACGGACAGGTCAAGGAGGCGGGATGAAGCTGGTAGGTAGGAGATCGGAGTGGGGCTTGAGGTGGGAGGAGGGGATAGGTGGGAGGAAGTACAGGTTAGGGAGGCGGAGACGAGCTGGCTGGTTTTGGGATGCGGTCGGGGGAGGGGAGATTTTGAAGCTTGTGAAGTCCACATTGATACCATTGGGCTGCAGGGTTCCCAAGTGAAATATGAGGTGCTGTTCCTGCAACCTGCGGGTGGCATCGTCGTGGCACTGCAGGAGGCCCAGGATGGACATGTCGTCCAAGGAGTGGGAGGGGGAGTTGAAATGGTTCGCGACTGGGAGGTGCAGTCGTTTGTCGCGAATCGAGCACAGGTGTTCAACGAAGCAGTCCCCAAGCCTCCGCTTAGTTTCCCCGATGTAGAGGAGGCCACATCGGGAACAGCGGATACAGTATACCACTTTAGCAGATGTGCAGGTGAACATCTGTTTGATGTGGAAAGTATTCTTGGGGCCTGGGATGGGGGTGAGGGGGGA